GTGTGTGTGTGTGTGTGTGTGTGTGTGTCACGTGTACGTGTGTGCACACATCTACGAATGCCACCATGTGCGTGACCGTGAATTCAGTGAGCCTGAATATTGGAAAATAGGAGGCAACATTAGTAGCTTCTGGCATGCCTTCGGCTCTTCATGTGGGCACACCCCAGCGCGTGTGTCAACGTACGCACGTGCATAAGTTGCGACCGAGGGTCCGCACTCGCGCATTCCCCAGCCCGCAACGCCCCTCCGTGCTCACCATCCCGCGTCCACGACTGTGCTTTCGGGCTTGACCCAGGCGAGCATGGCCGCCAGCTTGTCCGCGCCGTCGAGCCGCCCGGTCTTGAGGACCTCCCCCCCAGCAAGGTTGTCGTCGCGGAGGCCCACCACCACCGCGTCGGCCCCGCCAAACGTCACGTTGCGCACACCAACTGCCAAACGGCCAGGGCCAGCCAGGGCGGCGGGGTCAGGCGGAGGTGAAAAGGTGAGCTCAAGGCTGCTGATGTGTGCGGAGGGGCCAGGCGTGCCTCCCGCGGGCGGGCTGCAACAGCTGCACTCTGCTGCCTTGCAGAGACGCCGCCAGGCCGTGTCGCTGCTACGGCATTGAGGCGCCCTGGGCTCGTTGCGCCCTCCTGCCTCCCCGCGCCTCACCCTTGTTAAGCACGACAACGCTCCCCTCAGCACCGCCGCCCTGCCGGGGGCCCGCCCTGCCCTTAGACGCTGCCAGCGCCGCCTGGGCCTGCTTTGATGCCGCCGCTGCTGCCGCCGCTGCCGCGTCCGAGGATGCCTTGGCCTCCTTCAGCGCCTTGTGCAGGTCGCTGCGAGGAAAACGGCCGCCATTGCACGCGGCGCGTGTCGGGAAGGATTAGGAGTGTTGAAAGATCCCGCGGTCACCCAGTAGAGAGGCTGCGGCGACCGGACACGAGCTTGCGGGCCGTGGGCTCGCGAGGGGGCGCGCCGACGGGCGCGCCCCACGCACCGCCGCCTGAGCACCGGGCCCCCCCTTGGTCATCGGCCCCGCCGCCGACTTGCTCCTGCCGCACGACCACCCGTTTGCCCTCTGCTTTGGGATGCCCCCTGCCCCCTGCCGCCGCCGCCCGCCGGCTGGCCCCGCCCCCCACCTCTTGAGTGCGTTCAGCTGCGCCCTGAGGTCCGACAGGTCAGACACCATGTGGGCAAAAGTCTCCCGCTGGGCCGTACTGCGCTGCGACATGGCCGCCACGTTGGCCGACAGCTTCTCCAGGCTCTCGTTCTGAGGGCCCAGCTGCTTCACAGTCGTCTCTATCCGCTCGATCGCGCCTGTCTGGGAAGTGAGGTTCTGTGGCGCCGCAGGGCGGCCGGCCGGGGAGGGGTGGGGGTGGGGGTGGGGGTTTTTGGTATCACAGCCAGGCAGCCTGCTGAGGTAGCCGCCTCCTGCTTGTCATGGGCCGCAGCCAGCGCTGGGTGCGGCAGGCGCACTCCACTGCCCTTTCAGGGTCCAGGGATGCCGGCGG